TTCATGAAAGTACTATAACATCACAGCTTTGGGCATTATGTATTACAGTTTATGTATTATTCTAAGCTGGCACTGATGGCTCATGACTGTAATCCTAGATACCTCAGGGGGCTGAGAGCTGAGGATTTGTTTTTGGTAGTGGGGCCTGAACTCTAGGCCTGGGTGCTGTCCCTCAGCTCTTTCAGCTCAAGGCTAGGGCTCTACCACTTGAGCCACAGTACCTCTTCCAACTTTTTCTGCTTATGTGGTGCTGAAGAATCAAATCCAGGGTTTCATACATTCAAGACAAGCACTCTACCACTAAGTTACCATCCCAGCCCCCTGAGGATCTTTACCAGAAATAGACCTATGATCTCCAATTTTGTTAAGGATTTTATTTAAATAAATGGTAAAGCTGGTACCATGGCTCAAGCTTAGAATCCTAATTACTCAGTAGGCTGAGATCTGAGGATCAGGCTTGAAACCAGTTTAGGAAGAAAAGTCCCTGAGACACATATCTTCAATTAAACCAGCAAAAATCTGGAAGTAAGGGTGTGGTTCATGTTAAGAGTGCCAGCCATGAGTGAAAAGACCATGCTTGAGTATGAGGCCCTGAGTTCAAGTCTCAGTAGAGGCCCTAAAATTTAAAAAAAAAACTAAAAAAAAAGAAAAAGGTGTTCTTCCAAAACACAGGTAGCTTCCCCACCCATTGTGTTCTTTTCCTTAAAATGGTAGATTAAACGTGGGTGTTTTTTTGTGTATTTGCATGTGTATATAGAAGGTAAATAACTATGCAAATTACTTGCATATATTCTTTTTTCTGCTGGTACTGGAGTTGAACTCAGGGCTTTACATTCTCCCTTAGTTTTGCTATCAATTAGAGGTCTCTCCAGGTTTCTTGCCAACATTGACATCCATCTTCAGGCTGCATAGCTAGGGTACCAGGTGGTAACAAACAGCACCTGGTTAATTTTTTTTTTTTTAACCATTGATGCTTGAGCTCAAGAAAATTGTTTATAATGGTTCTAAAGCACTTTATCATGTGTCTACATAATTTTACTTTTTGTATTCAGATGAAAATGAGTATTTTTTCACCATCTTTAAGTTACTGGCTCCAAAAGGATATTAGTTCAAATTGAATCACAATACTAGCTTTGAGTAGATTCCAAGGAAATTTGGCTATTGCTACCTCAGGGATCCCTCTGGGTCACACAATCCTATCCAACCAAGGCTACCAGAGCTAAATTTTGAAGTCCAGCTGCCCTCTTTTGGTGGAAAGACTGCCCTTTGGGCTCAGATATTTGTCCTCCGCATCTAAATTGTATGTTTTGATGTAGTATGCAATACACTTCAAATACACTTATTGAAAGTTGGGTGCTGGAGACTCACACCTGCAGCTACTCAGGAGGCTGAGATATGAGGATTGCAGTTCAGTCATCCCTGGAACTCAAAAATCTGAGACTCAATATCTTCAGTTAACCAGAAAAAAAGCTGGAAGTAGAGAGCTGTGACTCAAGTGGTAGAGTACCAGTCTGTGTATCAGAGTCAAGTGAGACTTGAGTCCCTGAGATATTGCCTCAGTATCAGCAGGTACTGATTTATAGCTGAACGTCTGTGACAGCAAGAATTACTATACTTCAAGAATATATTAGGGCTGGGAAGTTGGCTCAGTGGTAGAGCGCTTGCCTTGCATGCCTGAGGCCCTGGGTTCGATTCCTCAGCACCACATAAACAAAAAAGAAAAAACCCGGAAGTGGTGCTGTGACTCAAGTGGTAGAGCGCTAGCCTTGAGCTGAAGAGCTGAGGGACAGCGCCCAGGCCTAGAGTTCAGGCCCCATGACCGGACCCCCCCCCCCCCCAAAAAAAAGAATATTTAAAAAAATTTAAAAGGTTCAGAACTAGAACAAATCATGTTGAGCAAGATAAGCCAAGATCAGAGACAAATGGCACATGTTCTCCTTGATATACAGATATTAAAATTAAAATGCAATGAGATATGACAAGGTAAAACAGGACTCAAGTTATCCATACACAGTGAGACCAAAAGAGGATAGTCTCAGGAGAAAAGCACCAAGTAGCAATACCCAAGCACCCCTTCACTTGTATATAAGAGGCACACTGAAAAGACCCCAAAGATAAGGAAATAAAGGACCTCTTCTTTGTCCTATCATTTTTAGATGACTTGTATTTTTTACCTCATAAATGGTGTACACATATATTCACATCTGAGGGAAGTGGGAGCAGAGCACAGAATCAGTGGAAAATGGGTGAAAAAAATACAGTAGAGGGGCCGGGATACTAAGCAAAAGGAAAATGTACCTATCTCCCAATTTGAAACAAAGTTTTATTCTTAAAGGTCATAGAGTTCATCAGCAGTGTAGATTATGATGACTATCATTAATGAAGATTAAAAGTTTGTGACTTAGAAAAAAGAAGTACAGGTGTGGCTTAAATGTTGAGTGCATCTTATGTTGTTGTTGTTTGTGGGGCTTGAACTCAGGAGGTGAATGCTGTCTCTGAGCTCTTTTTGCTAAAGGCTAGTGCTCTACCACTTTGAGCCACGGTTCCAGTTCTGATTTTCTAGTGGTTAATTGGAGAGAAGAGTTTCATGGACTTTCTACCTGGGCTGGCTCTGAACCATGATCCTTAGATCTCAGCCTCTTGAGTAGCTGTATTACAGGCATGAGCCACCAGAGCTGATAAGAGTGCCAGTAGTGAGAAAAAAAAAAAGGGACAACACCTAAACCCTGAGTTCTAGCCCTAGGACAGACACATGAGAAAAAAATAATTCAGGATAAATTTTGTCACAATAGCATGGAAATCCAGTGGACATGACCAGGAACTGGTGGCTCATATCTGTAATTCTAGCTACTCAGAAGTCTGAGATCTAAGGATTGTGCCTCAAGGTGGACCAGGAAGGGAAGTGTATGACTCTCAGGGCTAATTATCTAGAAAAAAGATGCAAGTAGAGGTATGGCTCAAGAGGCAGAGTGGCACCCTTCAGTGAAAAAGCTAAGGGACAGCCCTCAGGCTCTGCATTCAAGTCCCATTACCAACACGATCAACTAGAATGAGTATTAGGTATGGAAGAGAAAAAGGTTTGCCTATGATTTTCATCTCTCCACATAACCCATTTCTTCTTCTTCTATTCTTAAGTACTGGGGGACTGAACTCAGAGACTAACTGAACTATGCTTTTAGCTTTTTTTGTTTGTTTTTGGGGGGGTCCGGTCGTGGGGCCTGAACTCTGGGCCAGGGCGCTGTCCCTCAGCTCTTCAGCTCAAGGCTAGCACTCTACCACTTGAGCCACAGCGCCACTTTCGGCTTTTTTTTTCTGCTTATGTGGTGCTGAGGAATCGAACCCAGGGCCTCATGCATGCAAGACAAGCGCTCTACCACTGAGCCACCTTCCCAGCCCTAGCCCTTTTCTGTATTTGATAAGGTCTTACTAACTTTACCCAGGTTAGCTTCGACCTCATAATCTTCCTGTCTCCCAAGAAGCTGGGATTAGAGGTGTGTAGCAGTATGGTTGACCCTTTTTCTTTTTCTTTTTTTTTTTTTTAATTTAATTTAATTTTATTTGTGAACATACTGTACAGAGGAGTTACAGTTACATGGGCAGGATAATGTGTACATTTCTTACCAAGCATTGCAGCCTCCTCCTTTGTTTATCTTCACATCCCTTCCCAGCCTCCCCCCTCCCCCCCCCCCTTTTTCTTTTTCTGAGCAGATCTGGAATTTGAACTCAGGGTCTTGGTTTTTCTGGAAGCAGATGTTCTGTGATTTGAGCTTCAACTCCAGCACTCAGTCCACATACCTGGGATTACATACACTACCATATTTGGCTTATTGGCTGAGATGAGGTCTCAACTTTCTTTTGCCTGACCTAGCCTCAAACAGCAGTCTTGCTAATCTTCACTTCCTGAGTAGCTTACAGGTATGAGCCCCTGTGCCAAACTACCCTTTTCAGTTTTTTCAAAGCAATACATAAACTTTAGTTCAAGCATCCAAATTTGTACAATATCACTTGTGAAGGGGCAGAATGACAAAGTAGTCTCAACTGAAATGTCCAAAATCTGCCTTGAGGATGGCAGTTTAAACAGCCTGGGCAGGAAAGTATGTAAGACACTTTATCTCCAATTAAACACCTAAAAGACAGAAGTGGAGCTGTGGCTCAAATGGAGCAAAGAAGCTCAGAGACACTGCCTGGCTGTTATTTAAGCTCTAGGACTGGCACCAAAAAAAAAAAACCAAAAAAACCCCCAACAATGTACTTTGAGATTTTTTTTTGTTTCCTCTGTATGTTCTTCCTCCTATGGTATATCCCTTGTTGTCACTGTACTTGATTTTGGTACCCTGCATTTTCCTTTTTTTTCGTGGGTCATGGGGCTTGTACTCTGGGCCTTCACACTGTCCCTCAGCTCTTCAGCTCAAGGCTAGCACTCTACCACTTGAGCCACAGCGCCACTTCTGGTTTTCTGAGTGGTTTATTGTAGATAAGAGTCTCACGGACCTTTCTGCCCTGGCTGGCTTTGAACAGTGATCCTCAGATCTCAGCTTCCTTAGTAACTAGGATTATAGGCGTGAGCCACCAGTGCCTGGTTACCCTGCATTTTGTATATACATCTGTCTAATTTGGGGAGGGGAAGAGGACAAGGACATAGAATGACCCATTGCAACAATGATACCCACAAGACACTATACTGGAAATGAGCTTTACAACTTTGGGGCTGGGGGGAAGGAGCAGGGGAGGTGGGGGAGGGAAGGAATAGTGAGAGAACAATAAAGGAGGGGTAACAATGCTTGACAAGAAATGTACTCATTACCTTACTCATGTAACTATAACCCCTCTGTACAGCATCTTTACAATAAAATTTAAAATAAACAAACAAAAAAAAAAACAACAACAAAAAATCAAAAAACCCCACAATTTAGAAGTGGAATTGTCGCCCAGTAGTGAAGTACTTGCTTAGCATGTACAAGGCCTGCTTCCATCTCAAAATGAACAAAAAAAACATGAAATGAAAAAAACAATGCATAACTTTATTATATGTTTAATTCTATTATGAATACAAATGCATTGATGTCTTCATCCAGAGGGGGAAAAAACAAAAATAAAATGATGACACAAAGATGGCTTAAAGCAGATTCTATCAAGACTTTATAAGCTTATTTATCAACAAAAAAGAGAGAATTAAAACTGGCTGAAAGGCAGCACATCTGAGAGACTGATGTTGCTGTGTTGGTATACCTGCTGCAGAATGCTAACGGCATGGACCAGTCCTTTTTTCAGCCCAGGGTGTGACAGTGCTAGTAGTTGGAAAAGGTTGGGTGTGGGCTCCACTTCTTGTCTTCAGCTGGGACTGAGCAATGTCAGCCAGTGCACTCTGGATCTTTTCCAGAAGCAAGTCTCCTCGATAAACAACATCTTCCAGACAGGTAGCAGCTTCATGGTTCTCTTCCTCCAGCTTATACAAGCTAGCAGCCTTGGAAGACACAGATTAAGTAGGAGAGAGGCTGACATAGAGGGATTTCTTTTCTTTATTTATTTTTATTCTTTTTTTGTGCCCTTACTGGGGCTTGAACTCAGGGCTATGTGTTCTTCTTTGTTTTTTTTTGTTTAATGCTGGTCCCCTAAACTTCTGGCTTCTTGATGGCTAATTGGAGATAAAAATCTCAGACTGTTCTACCCGAGCTGGCTTTGAACCTTGATCCTCAAATCTCAGCCTGTTAAGTAGTTAGGATTATAGGCATGAGCTACTAGTACCCAGTTGAAGTATCTCTTTTTAAATTTGGATGATATTATAACCATCATGTTATATTTTACAATATCAGGAATTTTTTTTAAAAAATCAGAGAAGTTAAGAATGTTTCCTGGGGCTGGGAAAGTGGCTTAGTGGTAGAGTGTTTGCCTCACATGCATGAGGCCCTCGGTTCAATTCCTTAGCACCAGATAAGCAGAAAAAAGCTGGAAGTCGCACTGTGGCTCAAGTGGTAGAGCGCTAGTCTTGAGCTGAAGAGCAGAGGGACAGTGCCGAGGCCAGAGTTCAGGCCCCACAACTGATTAAAAAAAAAAAAAGAATGTTTCCAACACAAATTATAATGGGAATAGATTCTCAATTAAAAATATCTAAGTATCTGTAAGTGGTTTGCTGCCACACTGGTTTTGAACCTTTATGTTTGTGTGTGTGTGAATGTGTGTGGCTTGAACTTAGGGGCTAGGTGCTGTTCCTTAGCTTTTTCACTAAGGCTACTCTACTACTTGAGCCATATCTCTACTTCCAACTTTTTGCTAGTTAATTAGCAATAGTTCTCAGTTTCCTGCTTGGGTTGGCTTTAATCTATGATCCTTAGATCTTAGCCACCAGAGTGGATAAGATTATAGCTATGAATTACTGGTGCCTGGAACTTATTTATTCATATTGTGCTGGTCCTGGACTTGAACTCAGGATCTGGATGTTGTCCCTGAGCTTTTGTGCTCAAGGGTAGTACTCTACCATTTTGAGCCGTAGCATCATTTCCAACATTTTTTCCCCCAGTAAATTGGAGATAAGAGACTGCTGCCTAGGCTGGCTTTGAATCCTGACTCTTAGATCTCAGCCTCCTGAGTAGCTAGGATTACAGGCATGAGCCACAAATGACAAGCTACTTTATTTTATTTTTTTTGTAGGTTGTAGGGCTTGAACTCTGGGCCTGGGCGCTGTCCTTCAGCTCTTCAGCTCAAGGCTAGCGCTCTACCACTTGAGTCACTGCGCCACTTCTGGTTTTCTGAGTGGTTTATTAGAGATCAAAGTCTCACAGACTTTCCTGCCTGGGCTGGCTTTGAACCGCAATCCTCCTAGTAGCTAGGATTATAGGCCACTAGTGCCTGCTTTTTTTTTTTTTTTTTAAACTCTACATCACACTCTTTTCTCATGCTTGGATAAGAAAATAAGCTGAGAAACACAGAAGGCATCTTTACAATTGAAAATGAACATCTATTCAGTACAATCTACACTAGCTCACATGACCAAAATTCCTATCTTGAAATTGAAGTCACTAATGGAGTAATAAAGATGCCAATGCAATCTCCTTCCATTCAATGCGTTCCATTACTTCTCTATTACCTCATCAAAGAAAACAGGCAGGGCACCTGACCTCTGTAATCCTAGCTACTCAGGAGACGAAGATGCAAGGATTGTTATTCAAAGTTAATCAAGGCAAGTTTTAGACTCTTAGCCAGGCACCGGGTGGCTCAGGCTTGTAATCCTAGCTACTCAGGAGGCTGAGACCTGTAGATCACGGTTCAAAACCAGCCAGAGCAGGAAAGTCTGTGAGCCTGTCACCTCCAATAAATCACCAGAAAACCGGAAGTGGCACTGTGGCTCAGTGGTAGAGTGCTTGCCTTGAGCTGAAGAGCTCAGGGACAGAGCCCAGGCCAGCATTCAAGCCTCACGACCACAACAAAAAACAAAAATAAAAAGACTTTTATTTCTAACCATGAAAAAAAGCAAGAAGTGGAAGTATGTCTCAAGCGATAAGAGCGCTAGACTTAGTAAAAGGTCAAATGAGAGTCCAAGGCCCTATGCCTTGAATTCAAGCTCCTGTATTGGCACGCGCGCACGCACACACACACACACACACACACACACACACACACACACACACACACACACACACACACACACACACACACACACACACACACACACACACACACACACACACACACACGAAAAAGAGGTCTTTACCTGTAATGCGGCTGTCGATTCTTCACTGGGTAAAGAATCTATCAAAACATCAATATCTTTTGCTGTCCGGGCAATCAGTGCAGCAAAAAGCTGAGCATATTCTAAGAGAAAATATGACTAAATTAGGACATCAGAGAACCTCAGTTTTGGCTTTTTTCACTTAAGACTGGCACTCTACCACTTGAGCCACACATCTACTTCTGGCTCTTTGCTGGTTAATTGGAGATAAGAGTCTCATTGACTTTACTGTTTGGGCTGGCTTTGAACCTTGATCCTCCAATCTCAGTCTCCTGAGTAGCTAAGATTGCAGGCAAGTGATACCAATGCCTGGTTTGTATATGATTCTGATAATTAAGATAAAAAACTTAAAGCAAAATGTCAGCATATCAGTTCTATCACACTTTTCACTTACTATTGGGAAGTAAGCATAATGTCATTTTACTTATTAAGACAATATAGTGTGGTTAGGTAAACAAAGTAATTTGTAAATGGAATCCATTCCTTTAGGTCCTACAAGTAAATTTCTGCTAAATTCATACAAACTCTTTTCTAAAGGATCAACAATGTCTTATTTCATAAACAGAAATGTGATAGGTATAAATTTACTTTGTGGCTGGATACTGGATACCTGTTATGCTAGCTACTCAGGAGGCTGAAATCCGAGGATCATGACTCAAAGCCAGACTGGGCAAGAAAGTCCCTGAGACTCTTATCTCTAATTAACCAGCAAAAGGCCAAAAATAGAGGTGTGGCTCAAGTGGTAGAGTGCCAGTTTTGTTCGAGTAAAAAAGCTAAGAGTGTAAGGTACTGAATTCAAGTTTGCGCACCCCCTGGCATACAACAACAAAAAAATTCATTTCTTCTTTTTCTTTTTGTGCTAGTTCTGGGGCCTGAACTTAGGGTGTAGGCACTATTCCTGAGCTTCTTTTGCTTAAAGCTGGCACTCTACCCCTTGAGCCACAGCTCCACTTCCGGCCCCCCCTTTTTTGGGGGGGGTTGTGGGACTTGAATTCTGGGCCTGGGCACTGTCCCTCAGTTCTTCAGCTCAAGGCAAGCACTCTCTCTTGAACCACACTGCCACTTCCTACTTCCAGCTTTTTGATAGTTTATTAGAGATAAGAGTCCCATGGACATTCTTGCCAAGTCTGGTTTTGAACTAAGATCCATAGATCTCAGATTCTGAGTAGCAAGGATTACAGGTGTGAGCCACCTGGCTCAATTAATTTCTTTTCTTTTTTTTTTTTTTTGGGGGGGGGGGGGTCTGGTCGTGGGGCCTGAACTATATAAGCCTGGGCGCTGTCCCTCAGCTCTTCAGCTCAAGGCTAGCGCTCTACCACTTGAGCCACAGCGCCACTTCCGGCTTTTTTTCTTTTTGCTTATGTGGTGCTGGGGAATCGAACCTAGGGCCTCATGCATGCAAGGCAAGTGCTCTACCACTGAGCCACCTACCCAGCCATCAATTAATTTCTTTTATGACAAAACCTGTAGTAAAACTGCCCAACAGTGACACTGAAACAAAACCTGTAAGTTGACTTTCTTAAGAAAACACAAATGCTAAGAAAATGATTTACCTTCTGTGGGGTTAGCTGGCTGGTCCTTGTTAATTGCTGATTGAATGTTATTAAATGAAGTAGGTGGACCACACTGTTGCAACACTCCAATGGCATTACAAAACTGATCTGCAAGCTTGGGCCAAATAAAACAGGTCAAGGTTAGAAAAGGTGTATCAATTTTAAGGGTTTGTTCCATTATGGCAATAATTTTTCTAAATAGTGATTTTGAAAGCCTCTCACAGAAAGGAGTAATTCTGTGTAAAAGAAGCCATTACTACTCGAAATGATTGATTTTTGATCAGTGCTAATGAATGAACCCAGAAACATAGTAATCACTGATTACTCAGCCTGGGTTAAATGTTTTAATCAAGTCATGAAAGAAAAAGTCATAAAGTACAAAGATAAAGGTGCACAGGTTGCTGGTGGCTCACACCTGTAATCCTAGCTCCTCAGAAGCCTGAGATCTAAGGATTGAAATTCAAAGCCAGCCTAGGCAGAAAAGTACCCACGAGACTATTAACCTCCACCTAACCACTCAGAAACCAGAAGTAGTGTTGTGTCTCAAGTGGTAGAGTGCTATCCTTAAGCACAAAGAGGCTCAGGGACAGTACCCAGGCCCTTAGTTAGTTCAAGCCCTATAACCCACAAAAAAGAAAGATAGAAAAAGAAGCCAATATTTATTTTAAGCAACAAGCAGATAATTTGCTTGTAGTGGTGAATATTGGTGCACAATATATGTAACAAAATGACTGCTTAAGAAGCCAGGTGCTGGTGACTCACAGCTGTAACCGTAGGTACTCAGGAGGCTGAGATTGGAGGATCACAGTTCAAAGACAGCCCAGGCAGGAAAGTCTATGAGACTCTTATCTCCAATAAATCACTCAGAAAACTGGAAGTGGCCCAGTGGTAAAGCACTAGCCTTGAGCTGAAGAGCGGAGGGACAGCGCTCAAGCCCAGAGTTCAAGCACGATGACTGACAAAAACAAACAAACAAACAAAAAAACTGCTTAAAATGGTACCTTAAGAAATCAGATATGGTCTTCTCCAAGCTCAAATTATCATCTATTGCTCAAAACCTATTTTCCTTTAAAATAATTTTAAAAATTATTATTAAAAAAGTGATGTGCAGCAGGGTGCCAGGGGCTCATGTCTGTAATCCTAGCTCAGGAGGCTGAGATCTGATGATAATGGTTCAAGGCCAGCCCTGGCAAGAAAGTCTGTGAGACTCTTATTTCCAATAAACCACTAGAAAACTGGAACTGTGTTCTTTATGGAGATCTGAACACTTACTGCATCTTAAGTAGCAAAACATTAGTAAGGACATTTAGACATGAGTAAGTTCATAATTTCGTAAGTATGAGGGAGTAGTAGGAAATGAAACCTATTTGGCTTAGTTTATTGAAAATAAAAGCTTTCACACAGCCTAGCAGTTGTGAGATTTGCCTTGAAAGCCATGAAATTTGATGTCCAATGTAAGGTACTTATAGAGAAATTTGGGTTCGATTCCTCAGCACCCTCAGATTTGAGCAGGGTAAAACATTGTAAACTAGAAAATGAAACAGGCTATTTAATATTACTGGTGTGTAATAATTGGACTAAGACAGGAACAGTAACAATAAAAGGTAAAGAGGAAACATTTATATTACTATCAAGATTTGAAATGAGTAGAGCATAAAACACTGGTTAGCCAGGCACTAGAGGCTTGGGCCTCTAATCCCAATTATGAGAGGCTGAGATCTGAGGACTGTGGTTCAAAGCCAGTTTGGACACAAAAGTCCATGAGTCTCCTATTTCCAATTAACAGCAAAAATCTGGAATGGAAGCATTGGCTCAAGTGGTAGAGTACTAGCCTTGAGAAAGACGCTCATGGACATGGTCCAAGCCCTGAGTTCAAGCCCTAGGACCAGCACCAAATGAGAAAAGATTGAAGGGAGAGGGGAAGGAGGGAGAGGGGGGGGGGGGGAGGACAGGGAGAAGAAGAGGGAGAGGGAGAAGGAGAAGGGGAGAACCAAAATGTGAGAGCTTGAAGCTCCTAAATGTTAATGAATAATTCACCAACGTCAAGTCTCCCTTGGATTAACTGCCTGAGTTGCCAGGCAACACCTCTCAGGGAGATACTCCTTTGAGGTTTACAAATCAAATTGTAAGGATAGTGGGTGGAAAAATGTTATTTTAGGAAAATTTTCCCTGTAGTCATACATGTCTTTTAACTTTGAGGACAGTAAGACTGCACTGAAGGATGATTAGCTAGCTGGATTTGGTATACTCATATGAGCACACTGTGTGTGTGAACCCTGTGAGTTCACAGATCCTCCCTAATGTGGAGCAAACCAGATGTAATGAGGAAGATAGAATAAACCAGTGGTTTTGTCTGTCAAGTGATAAAGCAGACTGGAACAATTAATTCATAGCAAAAAGAACCTAAAATGAGATGGTTTTTACACTTACACAAATCACAGTATTTGTACAACTATTACCAGTTGTTCTCTCTGAACTCCTCATGATGGAAAAGCTATGTCACATTCAGTGTATCTCTATCATGTTTACACACAATACTTGTCATGGAACTGACTTTTCAATAAATTTTAAAAAATACTTATTTTAAGTTGAGCGCTGGTGGCTTACTCTTGTAATCCTAGCTACTTAGGAAGCTGAGATCTGAGGATTGAGGTTCAAAGCCAGCCTGGGCAGGAAAGTCTATAAGACTCTTATCTCCAATAATCCACTCAGAAAACCGGAAGTGGCACTGTGGCTCAAGTGGTAGAGCACTGGTCTTGAACTGAAGAGCTGAGGGACCGTGCCCTGTCCCAGAGTTCAAAACCCCACAACCGACAAAAAAAAAAAAAAAAAAAAGAAAGAAAAACACTTACTTTGGCAGTGGATTTTTATTCTTTTTTTTGCTTTTGTTTTGTGATGGTATTGGGACTTGAACTCAGACCTTGCAGCTCTCATTTGGCTCAAGAGTGATCAAGTTTAGCATTTCAGCCACACCTCCACTTCCGACTTTTTGGTGGTTAACAGGAGATAGGAGTCTCAAGGGCTTTTCTGCCTGTGCTGGCTTAGCATTATGATACTCAGATCTCAGTGCTGGGCTCTATTATTATCACTTTCATTCACTATTTACATAGAGAAAAATCAGTTTTTCAAAAGTGGGGGTGGGAAGGTGGCTCAGTGGTAAAGCGCTTGCCTTGCATGCTTGAGGCCCTGGGTTCGATTCCTCAGCACCCATAAGCAAAAAAAAAAAAAAAAAGCCGGAAGTGGTGCGGTGGCTCAAGTGGTAGAGTGCTAGCCTTGAGCTGAAGAGCTGAGGGGCAGTGCCCAGGCTCAGAGTTCAAGCCCACGACCGGACCCAAAATAAAAAACAAAACAAAAACAAAATCAAAAGTGCAACTCCAAAATATGCCAAGTAAGATCAGAACTAGTGAGGGGCCCAGGCATTCGGGTTTTTCACTCAGGGTAATTTTCTATAGGCACCTTCTTCGGACATTACACTGTAATCAAAATGACACTAAGAAATAAACGTTTCCAACAACAGAAATCTGCTTAATTCTTTTTTGTTTAATCAATTTTTTTTTTTTTGTCGGCCTGGACGCTGTCCCTGAGCTCTTCAGCAAAAGGCGATTGTTCTACTACCTGAACCACAGCGCCAATTCCGGGTTTCTGGTGGCTCACTGGAGGTAAGTCTCACGGACTTTCCAGCCCTGGTTGGCTTTGAACCGTGATCCTCAGATCTCAGCCTCCCGAGTAGCTCGGATTACAGGAGCGAGCCACGGTACTCGGCTTCAGGATCACAATTCTAAGCCAGCACAAGCAGAAAAGTACGCGAGACTCTTAGCTGAAGTTAACCAGCAAAAAGCTGGAAGTGGAAGTGTGGTCCATGAGGTAGAGCGCTAGCCGTGAGCAAAAGCCAGTCGGAGCCTGAGGCCCTGGACCTCAAGTCTCCCCGCACCAACCAACCAGCCAAAGACAAAGCAAAACAAAATCCCCAAAGCCCACGCAGACAAAAGAAATAGAAATACTCGGGTCAGAATACTCACCATCATAAAGCCAGACAACGGACCAAACGCTTGGCCTGGCCGAGACCTCAAACCCCGCGGCCACGCCCACCCCAGGACACAGTGACTAAGACCATCCAATCATAAACATCACAGCCAAGGACACCAGAACCGGTCAGGAAAAGCCAACTGGACGAACAGCCCCAACTACAAGCAGCCGCGACCAGCCGGTCCAGACGGCGGCTCGCAAGGAGGCGTGGGCCGAGGCCTCCCTCCGCTCGCCCTTCAGCCGCCCTGGCAGCCCCTGGGGATTTCCGGGGACTTGTCTCTCCGGCTCAAGTGAGGCCAGAGTAGAGAAAGGCAGAGACACGCCGGGGGAAAGTCCTCACCGAGTTTACTGCGTCTTGGAGCTGCGTGAGGCGATCCGCCATGTTGCTCCCGCACGCAACCGGAGCTAGAGCCGCCGCTCAAGTGCGATTGGGTGGTTATAGTACCTGTCTCAGCCAATCACCGAGAGGCGTTCTTGGATAGGGCGGGGTCAAGGCGGAGACTCCCCCCAACCCCCGGCGGGCGGGGCCCCTCCCTCTCTGGGCGCACCGGAATTAGAAAGGGGCGGGGCGAGGCGGCCGGTGCTGGAGTTCAGAGCTGTGGTCGCCTTGTGGCGTTGGCGGGGTCCAGCGGGGAAGCGTGCGCCTCGCCTACTGGACTGTGGCCACCTCACGAGGTTGAGGACCGTGGTTCGAACCCAGCCCGGGCAGAAAATTCCTCCAAAGACGCTTACCTCCAAATAGCCACCCCAAAGTCGGAAGTGACACTGAGGCTCAAGTGGTAGAGCGCCAGCCTCCAGGACAGCTTCGGGCCCCGAGTTCGAGCCCCGCGCTGCCCCCACCCCTCAAGAAACGAACACGTGGAGCTCCCCGGCCGCGCACGAGCTCGCAGGGACGCGCTGCGCTGTCCGGACGCCGCGGGGCGGCGGGGAGCGCCGCCCTCTGTGGGCCGTGGCGGGGACTGAGAGGCGGGTGCGGGCCGGAGGGCGTGGGGCGGCGCCGCGGCCTCGTGTCCCCCGGGGGCTCGGCGCGGGCGGCCATGCAGGCCCCGTGGCTGCTGATGCTCGCCGTGCTGGTGGCGGCCAACGGGGTGCCCGCCGGAGCCGCGGTCGTCGGGAGCGCCAGCACCCGTAAGTCCTCCCCGTCCCCGGGTGGGTGCTGCATGTCGGGCAGGTCGGAGCAGTTCGGTGGCACAGGAAGCGGCGTCAGGGACGCCGCTGCACCGGTGCCCAGCTCCGAGTTGCGAGCGGAATGGACGTAGGGTCTTTCCAGCGCAGAACCCCCCGACGACCTCTTGGGGAAAAGAGGATAAGTAACTCTTGGATTTAAAATTTCAGCTCCCAGAGGCAGCCATGTTTGTGATGCTCCTCTCCATCTCCCTCTTCCTCTTCCTCTCCCTGTCCTTTTCCTTCTCTCCCTCCTCCTCTCTCTCGTTGCCAGTACTGGGGCTTGAACTCAAGACCTAGTCGGTCTCCCTGAGATGTTTGTGCTCGAGGATGGCACTGTAGCACTTAAGCCACAGTTCCACTTCTGTTTTGGGGGTGTTAGTGGATTTTCCTGCCCAGACTGGTTTTGAACCTCGATCCTCAGTGCTCAACCTCACGAAGGGGCCAGGGTTACAGGTGTGAAGCAGCTGTGCACAGCTTGTTCGTGGCTTTCATTGAACACATTGAAATGGAACCCCTTTTCCCTCTGCTTGGGGAAAAATGAAGACTTTATGGCCAGAGGCCCTGAAAACTTACCAAACCTAGATGCTCTTACAAGTTGGAACGTGACTCCACATCTCACTCGGGTCATGTGCTTGGTGAAAGAGTTTTAGCAAGAGCTGGTGGTTTGTTAGTAGGAGTTTGTTTTTTTTTCTAAACACACAGTAATTGTGCTTGTCTGACAGTCATATGATTTTCACTGAAATTAAGTGCATGCTTCAGTTTTATGTTCACAGCCAAGTCGCAGGTCTGAAACCGAATGTGATGTGCTTGAACCCCCTGGGCTAAGTCAGGCACCGAGAAGGAAAATGGAATTATGAAGACCAAATTTCTCTTTTAGAACTTGGTGGTTGTGGTGAAACATGAAATCTGAGGTAGATTTTAGTAACATAATAAAGAGGAAAATTTAGAAGGTGTGTGTGTGTGTGCGCGCGCGCGTGTGCACACGCGGCATGCACACCCCTGCACCTGCGTGTGGGAAATAGAATTTGAACTCAAGAGCCTTGAGCCCTTCCTTGCTTGTCTGTTTTGCTTAAGGCTGGTGGAATACCAGCCTTGCAACTAGGGCCATGCCTCTAGTTGCAAGTCACTTGCTTCTTGAGAATTACACTGTAAGTGTAATTTTTTGATGCTGGTAGTTTGCTCTGGAATATCATTTGATGAACTTTTTTCCTTCCACTTGCTACATCATAAGATCTAATTACACCTCATAAAATGAATCCTCTTCCAGATGACTAAGGAGTGAAGTTAGATTCCTGACAACTGCTGAGGAATACATTTTGGGTTCATGTACGGGACTTGAACTCTGGTCCTCAGTCCTTTTGCTTACCTTGTTTGATCAAGGCTGGCACTCTACCACTTGAGCCACAGCTCCATTTCTAGCTTTTGCTAACTGGAGATAAAACGCTCACATACTTTTCTCTCCTGGTTGTCTCTGAACCAATATTCTCAGTTTTCAGCCTCCTTAGTAGCTAGGATTACAGGTATAAACTCCCAGCACCTGCCCTCCGCAAATGTTTGTAAAGTTTGGACTTTAACTCATGCCATGTCCCTGAGCTTTTTTTGCTCAAGGCTAGTGTTCTACCACTTGAGACACAGCTACATTTCTGGCCTTTTGGTGGTTAATTGGAGATGAGTCTTTTTTTTTTTTTTTTTTGCCAGTCATGGGACCTGAACTCTGGGCCAGGGCGCTGTCCCTCAGCTCTTCAGCTCAAGGCTAGCACTCTACCACTTGAGTCACAGTGCCACTTTCAGCTTTTTCTGCTTATATAGTACTGAGGAATAGAACTCAGGGCCTCAGGGGCTGAGAAGGTGGCTCAGTGGTAGAGCACTTGCCTTGCATGCCTGAGGCCCTGGGTTTGATTCCTCAGCACCACATAAGCAAAAAAAGAAAAAAAGCCAGAGGTGGCGCTATGGCTCAAGTGGTAGAGCGCTAGCCTTGTGCTGAAGAGCTGAGGGACAGTGCCCAGGCCCAGAGTTCAGGCCCCACGACTGGACCCCTCCCCCCCCCCAAAAAAAAAAAAAAAAAAAGAACTCAGGGCCTCATGCATGCAAGGCAAGCACTCTACCACTGAGCCACCTTCCCAGCCTGCGATAAGAGTCTTACAGACTTTCTTGGCTTTGAACAGAGATCCTCAGATTTCTGCCTCCTAAGTAGTTAGGATTACAGGCATGAGACATTGTTCCTGGCTGGCAGATTTTTTTGTTTTTTTAATTTAAAAAATTTAAGCTCTTCTTTCACTTTAATATCTTCCATTATTACTATGTGGAAGTCTCTTTCTCAATTTAATGCATATGATAAGCCTTTCTTTTTCTCATTAGTTTATTTACAGAGCCAATCTGAGACTGCCTGGTTTTTGTTTTAATTTTTTAGTTTTTTGGCCAGTGTTGGAATTTGATCTGAAAACCTGTAGGCTTGCTAGATCAGACTCTATCACTTGAGTCCCATTCATGACAGTTATGCTAGTACATACTTGTAGTCCCAGTTACTCAGAAGGTTGAGGCAGGAGAACTGCTATTTATTCCATCATTTAGGTTGTATCTATGCTTTTGTAATTTTTCACATAGGGCCTCCTTGTTGCCCAGGCCAGCTGGCATCCGGAACCTCCCTCCTGTTTACACTTTTTATGTAGCTGGAATGGTGTGTACATGCCACACACACTCAGCTCTTGGTTGAAATGGGGATTTGTGGATGTTTCTACCTGGACTGCCCCTGAATTTCTCTTTATCCTATCTTAGCCTCTTGAGTAGCTAGGATTAAAGTTCTTGCTTGAGGTCACATAGTTCAACCACAATTCAAACACAGTTACTGTGTATTAACCAGGAAATGTTCTGAGCCGGGCCTCTGCACATCAAATGTGACAAAGGGAAACCTCAAGCCTAATGTTGAAGTGTAATCTTCTGGGAAAATTGTGAAATGGCTGTTGGACTGCTAACGTATTTTCCCACAGAAGATAAGTGAAGATAACTAAGGATAAAGAGAAGGCATTTATCTTTTGCCTACTCACCAGACTTGTACCTGGACTTCTCAGACAGGGCTAAGCATTAAAATCACTTGAAGAGCTGTTTTAGAAGATGTCAGTAAAAAAGAAATTGGAAGTTAAACAAAAACCCTCTTGTTTGTTTCCATTTTTTGGCATTCATTTTGATAAACATCTTTTGTATAATCATATGCATTGATTGTGATCCCCTCCTTGGATCTCACTGTGTGAATGTCTAGAATCCTATATAATTTATCATGTCCCAGTGTAGTTTTTGACTTGTAGGCACATTCTAGTTACAACAAATGAAGGGAACTATGTAATCTATGTTTCTTTTGGTCTGCCTTCACTTAATAAAATTTTTCCAGTCTTTCCATTTCCTTAGCATTCTTTCTGATGTACCTTTTGTCTTTATGTAAGTTTATCTGTTTGGGGAATGATAAGGGGGAGCACAGAAATTATGGAACAAGGGTGAACTAATTCAGCATACTAATTCAGATACTCACTAGACGCTATGTTGAAAATGAACTATAGGGGATGGGAAGGTGATTCAGTGGTAGAGTGCTTTCCTTGCATGCATGAAGCCCTACTAGATTCGATTCCTCAGCACCACATACGCAGAAAAAGCTGGAAGTGGCGCTGTGGCTCAAGTGGTAGAGCTGTAGAGCTGAGGGACAGCCCAGGCCCAGAGTTCAAGCCACAGCCAAAAAAAAAAAAAAAAAAAAAGAACTATACGACTTGGGGGCGGGGAGGTGAGGGTAAAACCTGAGAGAGAGCAAGAGAAGGGGTGACATTTGTAAGGTCCACCCTTCGCACACTTAGAGGCAGTCACCTCCCCCCTCCCTGAGGTCACATCTGCATTGGGTGTGGGCTTCCTCCCCCCCCCCCCCCCCCGTCCCCCCCATTAGAAGTGGCCTGGTTGTGGTTCAATCTTTTTTTTTTTTAATCTCTGCTGCAGGGACTTCCAACTTGACCTGAGGCAACCTGTAGCTCAAAAATAAATCTTTCCCTTGCCTGAATACCACATGCTGTTCTCTCTTTCCTGGGCTGCTGATTTAATTTACCTAACAGTGTCCAAAAAGAATTGTACTCATTACCTGACTTATGTAACTGTAACCCCTCTTACATCATCCTTACAATAACAATGAAAAAAAATGATGTTAGGAAAATGGAAGAGAACAGAAAAGGAATAGGCCGGACTCGATCATCAACAGGCGAGGACTGTTGATTGATGAACGGTGAGGGACACAG